TAACTAGTTTGGGTAATGAAACATCTGCAGGAAAACAAGCTCAGAGAATACCAAGGATTCCTCTTTTCAATCCTGAGCTACAAATATTCTCCTTTATTGGAACCATAGAAATATGCCAACAGGAAAAGGTTGCACTATAGCTTTGTCTTCTCCATTGGAAATTGCTCAACATTTGAATAATGGATCCAAATGTAGAAAGTGATGCCCTAAATTTTAAAATATTTGCAAGCCTAATTTATTATCATATATTTGGAATTTTAGATTCATTAGAAAGAGGGAAGGGAAATCAAAATCTCATTTTTTTCTTGAACATTTTAGACATTTTTCGGTATATCAATGATTGTTTTGCTGTCTTAATGACTTCAGTTATGTAATTCCCTTTGTGAGTATGATGTTCAGTGGCATTTGTGGATAAAGTCCTAATTAGCATTCTGTAACTAATGAGCAAGTGGAAGTTTGGCTTATGGCTTATTATTTTACTCATTATTATGAATGATATGGTGAGACTTTAAAGCCTGCCAGTTTACAATACATGAAGACAAAATTATTTATGAAAAGGCCATGCTACAGAAATGGAAATAATTAATAGTAGATTTAAACTTTTCATTATTTTTTTTGCATTTTTTTTCCAAAGCAAAGCACTTTTTCTATAAGGAATTCATTGCTAATGGGAACAATTTAAGACAGTTTATACATTGTTATATTGAAAGTATAAGTGTCTTGAGTCTAGTTTAATCTATGATCTCGACATATTTTCTTCTTCTGGTCTGTTTTAGAACACTACAGGGAATAAAAGTAGAAAAATATCTTTTCTAGCTGAGTATTCTACTTTGTGTGAAAAGGAGCCTGATGGAAATGGACAATGTGCAGGATATCAACTGAATGAATGAATGAACGAATTCTTTATCGGCCAAGTGTGATTAGACACACAAGGAATTTGCCTTGGTGCATATGCTCTCAGTGTACATAAAAAGAAAAGATACATTCATCGAGAATCATAAGGTACAACACTTAATGATAGTCATAGGGTACAATAAACAATCAAACCATACTAGATGTACTATAAGACCAGCTTCTCTTGTCTACTGTACCAATGTGATTTCACACCCCTATGTGTATTTCTGCTTTCATTGCAGATGGAAGAGAACTTCACCTGGCAACCCATTTTTTGTTTTGTTTTGTCAAATGAATATTGATTGGTGAATACTTCATAGCTATACCTCACCCCTTTCCTAAGAGCATGCATAAGTGTATCAACGTGCCTACCATCCCTGTCCTATTGTTTCTTTTATTTTATTTTTTATTTTTCTTATATGTATCCATGTATTCATAACTATTTTACTTATACCTATTATCTTGTAAGAAATTGAGTAAATAAATAAATAAATAAATAAATAAATGTTTAGAGTTGGGTTGATTGAATGTGTTACTTAATTCCCTAGCTGTATTTTTGCCCAATTACAAGATTAGATAGATTCTTAGAGAGACACAGTGGAGACACTCGTCTCACACTCAGGAGGTTGAGAGTTCAATCCTAGGCAGTGACAGATATTTAAATATAATTTAATTTATAACTATGGGAGGAGATAAACAGGCTTCTCCTGTTACTCTTATTCCCATTCCAGTTTTTGGCATCTGAAATTCTAATAGAGCATGGACTATTGTATATTTTTCTCATATTGAGCAATGACTTTTGAATACAAAAGTAAGCCCTTCATTATTTTCATTTTGAAAATAATAGAGTTATCTCTTATTGAATACAATTTATCAATTTGTGTTTATCCTTCAATTTTTTCCACATTTGAAGAGCATCACATTGGAGAGTCGACACTGAATTCTAGCTATTTGTATTAACTTCTATTTTAGAAGTTGGCCCTCCCAGTTTTTCTATGAGAAATTACATGAATAATTCTGTCCAACCACCAAGGGTCAAACAAAAGAGAATTCAAAATATAGGCCATTCAGCTTCATTGAACCAAAATTCTCCTTGCAAGTTTATTCTCACTGAGTCAAAAGTCCCTGCAAGACAAATGTGTGTGTCTATTTTGCCGGGGTTATTTTATAATATTACTATTAAAATTCAGCCTGGGAGGGATTCAACATAGATTTTAAAGGTTAGTTCCTGCATGCTTTTATTTCAAGTTTGTTCTCAAACATAATGATTTTGAACATGTACTTGAATATGACTCTTAACAAAATACATTGCATTCTTTTGGTGCTACTGCTTCTCTAATATCTAAAGAGATAAAGGTCAGAGGAATCCATGTCATACATTGGAATGAATATATTCAAGCACTGATGGGTTCTGTTCAACAAGGACTTATGTAGTGGAATATGAGAAATGTAGTCCCCAAGCTTTTTGACACTACTGTTTTTATACCTGATTATCTCTCCATTCTACCCAATTATCTCTCTCTCTCCAGGATCTGGGACTTTGTAGAAATGTATTCCCAGGCTACAAAGCAGATGCATTTTTTTAAAAAAATGATGATCATTGAAAATTTGAAAATCAGTGTTGTTGTGATGACTTTTGCAGGAGAAAAGTATATTCTATCAAAGTCCAATGTACAGGGTACTTAAAACGTATTGCTATATTTTTTTCTATTAAAGATACAAGAAAAACTTTGCTGGACTTGACCAAAGTCTTATTTAGTTTGGCATTTGTTCCTGCCAAACTAAGTAAATAGCCATTCAGAAGCTCACAGAATAAGGCTATAATTCACAAGGCAAGGCAAGATCAAAATTCTTGGCAAGGTATCAAAACCGTAGGAGCAGGTTGTAATGTAAGGAAAAATTGGGGACATAAAACAGGAACAATACTTCTAAAAGATTTCTGTGGTGCCGTTCTCAGCAACCTGAGTTCAGAACAACTAAATACAGCAGGTAGCAATGCAATGTAGTCATAACATATTCAGAAGACTTTGGCCTTCAAGGATGCAAGATTTTAGCCTTGAGCATGGATTATAATCAATATTTGTGTGTCTTGGCCTTTTCTTCTGATTCTGAGATTAGGGAAGGAAATGTCTAGTGTTCATTAAGTACAGATTTCCTGATTCTTTAATTTTGAATAAACCTAGATAAAAATGTATTTTCCTATCTAGTCTTTATTTCTTTTTCTTAGCTCATAAGTTGGACCTTCATAACTGTCAGATGGTTGTCTTTCAGGTCATCATGAAACTCTGATTAATCATTTGTTAGAAGCCAAAATGTTAACTAAAGAGTATGAAACTTATGTTTGATCATGAAAAGCTTCTGTTATTTATTGTGTTCTATCAACAGATGATTTTAAAAAGATAAAACTTCACATGAGATTCTGTGATATGATAAAAGGAATACCAGCCACAATTCACAAGAGTTTTACTATTTTAACAGGTTCTTGTGCTGTCTCACTCACTCACACACAAACACACACATAATTGTGGTTTAGTGACTTTATTAATATTCCCCAGCAATTCCCTTCACCAAGACTCAGAACTGTCCCAATTAAGTCCAGCCACAAGCAGGCTAAGATTTATCCACAAAGCAATGCCCAACAGTCCACAAAGCAATTTAAAGTTGCTCAAACAAATAACTTCACCAATAAACTTAAATCCACACACAAGAAAGCTCATGAGGCAAGCAAATTCCAGAGTCTACAAGCATGAATTAATTCCAAACACAATGTCCATCCAGAGTGAAGTAGGAAACACAATGACCCAAAACTCACAGCTAGAAAACAAACATGTTCCTAGGAATGGCTCCCTCTGTCTGCTTTGATAAATAGCTAGTTTTCCAGTGCAGCCCAGCAAGATGGGTGGAGCCTTCTCCTCTTGGCTGCCCTCCATTGTGCCTGCCTTTTCTCTGCCCTATGTGTTTTCCGATCAGGTGCAGAAGGCTGTCTGCCACTACAAGCTTTTCCCAGCTGAAGCCTCCTCCAAATCTCTTCCAGCTGACCAATCTGACGAGGAATCTCAGTTCTGAGGGAGATATCACAGTTCTTTTATTCCTACATGTGAAAATGTAACATCGCTATCTTGACTTTCGGTGAGCATATGAATATGTCCAGGTATTTTTCATATAATGTTACAGAAATAATTTACCATTACCGCCTTTTTTTTAATCTCCTAGTTCAGATAATAGCCCTTAAATATGCAGATGATCCTCCATCCAAATAGTAACCAGAACCAACTGGTTCATATCAGCTTTTCAATATCAGCCAGGATATAGTTAATATTTGCTGGAATAGAATAGAATAGAATAGAATAGAATAGAATAGAATAGAATAGA